TTGAGGATATCTGTAACATGGCTTTCATTTTGATACTATTACTAGATAATTGTTCATGGGACTGTTCATTACTATTTTTAGAGGATATAGAGAAAGGGGCTATGAGTTTTCTTTAATATCTTTATTTTTTTTTAAAAAATTTTACCCGTTTATTTGACAGAGAGAGAGCATGCACAAGAAGAGGGAGGAGCAGGCAGAAGGAGATGGAGAAACAGGCTCTCCAGTGAGCAGAGAGCCCAATGTGGGGCTCAATCCCAGGACCCCAGGATCATGACCTAAGTCAAAGGCAGAAGCTTAACCAACTGGGCCACCCAGGTGCCCCTCTTTAATATCTTTAAACTTTAAGAGCTTAGTCCTTTCTCCTTAAATGAGGCAAGGAAGGATATCAGTCCCTGAATGATGAGGGATATCAGTTCCTGAATGATGAGGGATATCAGTCCCTAAACTAAGAGCTTAGTCCCTCTCTCCTTAAATGAGGCAAGGAGGGATATCAGTCCCTGTGAATGCATCATTAAAAATCCACTCATCTTCAGAGTCTTGGGCTGACCTATGAAGTCACTACAATAACATGGTATCAGTTATCCATTTAATCCAGTCTCTTCTTTCTAACAACATCAGGTGGAAATTGTATTAGTCAATTATTTGAATTTGGCAAACATGAATTATTATCCCATGAACATTTAAAAATAGGCAAAGATTACTGTGGTTTGTTCCATTGGCAGAATCACCACTATAATGATACCTTAGTCCAAAAGTTATGTAATTGCTTATCACATTAGTCTCAACTCTACAGGGTATAAATTTGTCATGTGGCTCTTCTGCTAAGTGGCATTTGCAGAGAGAGGCATATATCATAGTGTTTGTTAAGAGAAGAGAATTTAGTCAGATCAATTTGTGTTCAAATCTTTTCTGCCACAGATCACCTGAATGACCTTGGACAAGCTAATTAACCCCTCTGGGCCTCAGCAAAATGAGGGATAATAATACTCAACTAACACAAGTTGTTATGAAGATCAGGTAAGTGTATAAAGAGCCTAATAGAGTGACCAGGAGTATATATTTATTGAGTATAGATACTCAATAAAAGGCTGTTATTTTTATTACTTTTATTATTATCATCAGATTTGTTAGATCAAAATCTTCATCTCTCTGTAGCATATGGCTATTCTGAGAACAATGTTTCCTATGATAATAGACCAGATCATGGCTTCCATCCACTTTATTGGGAGGGCAGAAGCAAGCATTATGTAGGACCATATTCATCTGGTTTTCTACAGTTTTCCCTTTCTAAGTATGTAAAAGCAGTTTTCACCTGGCAGTGAACCCAAAATAATGAACTCCGTGATAAGGGAATAGGGCTGTTTAATTATTAAACCTTGTTCTGACAGTGACATGAGAAGCAGGACTAACTGTGCTCCATCCATTTAGCCCCAGAAGACCATATTCAATTAGGACAACCTTGGGGTGTTTGAGAGGAGTTAAGTTTGTAAGACCAGGTGCTGTTAGAAGCTCTCAAGGTCTAGTACAAAACAGTCCCCATGTCTGGCTTAATCTTGAATTCCTTCTAAAGCCTCAGTTAACTTTTGGACCATCTTAAGTGTTTTCTGCATAATCTCATGCTACCCCAGAATTTAAAAGGGAACTTCTGCCAGACGAACAACACAGCTCACTTTTGTCCCAGCCTTTTGGGGTGACTACTTCACACTTTAGGCTCTCCCTGTCTGACTATATAGCAAGTAATCAGTTTGGATCCTATCTCACAATAGTCCTTGGCATTTGGCTGAAACAGTGGCTCCCATCAATCATAATGAAGAGGATGGAATAAATCTACTGGCTACTTTATATATAAGGTCCTCAATGCCTCAAAGACATTCAGCTATCTTGGATACTTAGAATTTTACAAAGCATTCAAACATTCATGAGCAGTAAGTAAAATAATAGAGTGTACTTCTGAGAATATTTCTAATCCATGAGTTGTTTATTGGAAGAGAATATGTATCATATTAAAGTTTAAGCTATCTGTACTTCTGAAACAAATAACGCAACATATTTTAAGAAAAAAGAAAAAGAAGAAGATAACAGGAGAGGAAGAAAAGGGGAGTATGTCAGAGGGGGAGACGAACCATGAGAGATGATGGACTCTGAAAAACAAACTGAGGGTTCTAGAGGGGAGGGGGGTAGGGGGATGGGTTAGCCTGGTGATGGGTATTGAGGAGGGCACGTTTTGCATGGAGCACTGGGTGTTATGAACAAACAATGAATCATGGAACACTGCACCAAAAACTAATGATGTAATATATGGTGATTAACATAACAATAAAAAATTAAAATAAAAAAACCAAAAGAATCTACCTCTGACTCAGGCAGTATCTGTTGAATTTAAATATCTGTTTAATTTGGTTCTCCTCACCCTCAGCTATAAATTAGCCAACTCATAAAAAAAAAAAGTCTCTTTTTCAGCATTGGAGAGAAGAGTATTTTTTAAGTTCATTTTCATTTTCTGTTTGGCCTTTTTGGTTAGTTTAGGCACTGGGTTCTACTCTAAATTTTATGCAACCACTACAAGAATGGGACATGGGGCTAAAGAAATGCAACTGAATTTCCAAGAGATTAATCCCTTTCCTTGTGAGTGAATTAAGTTCTTGTAATTGTCAGACCCAATGTCTTTAGATCCTCTGTACACTTTTAACTAAATATCCACCATACGTTTGGCGTGACATCAAAAGTAGTCAATAAATTAAGAGCAGTCTTGAAAGTCTTCTGCAGATTTGGAACTTCTAATTACTCTCATCAATTTTGCAATAATAGAGATTCACTTTTCAGATTGTGAAGTGTTTTAGAGAGTAATCAGGTGAAGAAAAGTGCTTTCAAGGGTAAATCTTTCAGTAGACACATTATCAATTCAAGCTTTATATCTGTTGCATTTAACCAAAAGAGCAAATTATAGTATCATAGAAATAGTTCAGTCTCACTAGAGTCATCAAAATGTTACAAATGAGAAATTAAATTAATAGTTATAAAATGTTCTTTTTTGTCATAGTGGAAGAATTACAGGCAATAATTTTAAAGTCTCTCATTTATTCTCTCCTTTAGTTGAAAATAACAGCAGAAAAGCAATAGTATTCAGACCTCTTGACTATTTAGCAATCTGTTCATCCTTAGTTTAAAACATTTATTACCCTGTGCCTTCCAAAAATTATAATGAAAAGGTGTCTAAGCTGGTGAGAAAGGAGAGAAAAACATGTCTTTTGGATTTTAACTCTCTGAAGAATGATACGGTGATTAACTTCTCATTGAAAGAACTTGTGGAGAAGATGTGAAACCAGAGACAAAGAGAAGAGTCAAGATGAATAAGGCATAATGATTGAGGTTTCTAAAAATACCATCATATGTTTCTGATAATTTTGAACTTTCATACTTTTTGTCTTAAAATATATTTATAATTTGTTAAAATTAAGTAAACACTTGATCCTACTAAACCGTGAATATTTTAATTCTACTAGATCAGTAGTTATCCTCAACATCATTTCAAAATAGAAAGGCAGTAGTTACTTATGAACAGACATTGCTAACTGGCATTCCCCGAATTCTATAGGGCTGCCTCATGCACATTCCAACCAGTTGACCAGAGGTATTCCCGTCTATAGCCGCTGGGGATTACTTTCTTGTCCCTACCATCTTAATGTGTATAGTGTGAATAATTCTACCTTATAGTCCAACCTCTTCCTCTCTTCTTTTCGAGAAAGGAAAGGAGGAAGGGCATAAAGAATGTTGGAAAACAAGAAGATTGGGAAGAAGTAGAGGAAAATAGGGGATTACAGGCTCTGTTTCAGGCTATAGAAATCTCCAGAGCAGGGACACCCAGGTTTTTTCAGAAGCACTTTTATGATCTATAATAGTGATGAGGTGAAAGAATCTCTCTCAGGTTGTGATTCAAAGGTAAATAGAGAGCCTGTGGAGGTTTTACTCATATCTAATTTCTGTCTTTTTTCATCATCCCTAAGTTTTGTGATGTCACTTAATGCAATTAAATGTGATGAGGTCAAAAGCAGATAGTTTCAATTATCATCAAATTATAATTAATAATTGATTCAGGGGTGCCTGGGTGGCTCAGTTGTTAAGCGTCTGCCTTCAGCTTGGGTCATGGTCCCAGGGTCCTGGGATCGAGCACTGCATCGGGCTCCCTGCTCCGCAGGAAGCCTGCTTCTCCCTCTCCCACTCCCCCTGCTTGTGTTCCTGCTCTCACTATGTCTCTCTCTGTCAAATAAATAAATAAAATCTTAAAAAAAAATAATTGATTCAAAGCTGAGGGCATTAAACACTGATAGTAGCAGGGTAGGTTATGTAACTCAGGGTAACATTTTTAAAATAAAAAAGTCAGGTGGTCCAAGTCCACAATGGGATCATACAGGCCTGATGGGAGTATGGATGGACAGCATGTTGGATGTTCAGCATGGAGGTGGGGGTGAACTTTTACCCACGGTTTGACAAAGAGCTAAGCATGAGAGGAGCCCCTGATTTTTCTGCCATGGCTAACTTTGATTTTCCCATAGAATGTTTGTTTTCTGTGGTCTTTCAGTTCTATACTTCTAGTAGTGAAATACTTTATCAACATGATTACTTAACAACATTTCAGTCAGTTGGCCCTGGCAATGAAGCATTATTTAATCATTCTGTTACTATGAGGAAACATTATCTGCAGGTAAACTTTTAGAAACAACTTGTTATAAATTGTGTGTATAGTTTTCTTTAAAAAATATATACAATTGCTAACAAAACAAAAAGCAAAACCCAATTTTCCTTAATTTTTTTTCCTACTCTTAGGATTTGTCAAGAACTGCAGTGAATTTTTTTCCCCTGTGCTGAAAATGTGCTTAATTGGCTTCATAATTAGCTAGTTTATTAAAGCCCAGTAGATTTTTTTCTGACCTTTTTTTCTGCAGTAAAAGACAGTGTTTTTCTAATTTAAACTGCCAATAAATAAGAAGTTCACTTCTTACCTTGTCAGAAGGTTTAAATGGATTTCCTTGTCCGCTAATTCCACCACTGATACTAAATCCAAGGCCAGGATTCTTTTCTATTCTCACACAAAACTACGTAAAAAAAGACATGAAAAAAGTGATCAGTTATATATCTAAGCTAAATATCTTCAATTTAACTGCCTCACAATAGAAAAGATTCACGTTTCACTTAAGGTCTCAGGGTTAGCCTATATTAGTACACAAAAGACAAAATACTTAGTGCTTCTATAGGCATAAGTTATGATTGAAACTAGCTTGAAATTACCTGGGCAAGAAGATATTAGTAAGTATTTATTCATTATCATGTGTAGAAATGCACTTTGATTAGCAGTTTTAAAAAATCAAAAGCTATCCTTATAACAATAACAAAATTGTGCATTGTTTCAGTTACATGCACATATATTATGACCAATTAGAAGAGACTGTATGAATAAGTGAAAGAAAGTTTGCAAATGTATATAGCAAGGGAAAATATGGCATTTAAATAAGTTGCTACTGCTTTCTAGGAGAGTAGTACAATCCATCTCCTTGGTAGGTGATTATATTGTTTAGAAATAGCAGGGTTTTTATTTTGAGAAAGGGGAGAACTTTTGACCAGAGCTCGAGTGAGGGTGGAACAGAGGAAGAATGAAATACTCAGTAATAGAAGTTGTGAGTTTGGCACCAGCTCCCGGAGAGGCAGTTAGAAGCCTTGGAGGACAGAGGAGAACACTGAAAACACAAAGAGGTCAAGAATATGGAGAAACTGTGATAAGGAATAGCTGATAAATATTTAGGACCACGAGGGCTAATATTCTAGTATTCTGTGCTGTATTACCTCCCCAAACCTTAAACCATCGATGAAAGTCTGTTAAACACAAGAGGTTGTGCTTTGAGACCTAGGGGGGAAATGATGGCACCAGGAGTAAATCCACGTCACACTCAGGCTGTAGTAAAGATGAAGCTATTATGAGAGTGAATGCACAATGTAGATCAAGAGTTCAGCAGAAGGGGAATCATTGGCAGGAATGACCTAGAGAGGCGATAACAAACCCAGGAATTCTTTTTTTTTAAGATTTTATTTGTCAGAGAGAGAGAGAGAGCACAAGCAGGGGGAGCAGCAGGTAGAGGGGGAAGCAGGCTCCCCACTCAGCAGGGAGCCCAATACAGGACTCGATCCCAGGACCCTGGGATCATGATCTGAGCTGAAGGTGATGCTTAACTGACTGAGCTACCCCGGCACCCCCAAACCTAGGAATTCTTGATGATCCTGAGCTGGGATATGTATGAGGACCATGGTGAAAATGATATTTTTCCATGTAAAGTGGGATGGGGTGACCCGAGATGATTGAAAGACTTGGGACCCCAGAGGGAGCATATACTTGGTTACAGAAAAGAAGGAAGGAAGGAAGGAAGGAAGGAAGGAGAGAGAGTGAGAGAAAGAAAGAAAGAAAGAAAGAAAGAAAGAAAGAAAGAAAGAAAGACTTTTATAACTTTTAAGAACAGAACAAATACTGGAACTAGGTGAACCAAGTGTTACCAGAGATTAGCAGGTCAAAGATTAATAAGGAGTTAAGAAAAAAAAAAAAAAACTAAAGAAATACATTAACATATATTTTGTATTTATATAAATATATACTGGGAAAGTTCTTAAAGGTGATTGGAAATGTTTGCTTTCTTAAGTAGTGTAATGTTTTCCCCAGCAATCTTGCTTAGTTAGCCTATTAATTTGCTTGTGGACAAATGTAAATGCCCAAATGCTTTCTATATTTTTATTTTCAAGATACCTTTAATCCCTACCTCTTAGATAGTTCAAGGCAAATTTGAGTACTGTTCCTGGCTTAATTAGCATATATTAAGAGTCGCTGGGAACTGGATTAATTAGGTTTGGCCGTTTGATGAGACTATCCTTAATTTACTATCATATTTCATAATAATAAATATAATGTTTAACTATTACCTAGTTCACTTGCAACACAGGGGCAAAACAGTATCCACTAATGTGATTTTTATGGCAGAGTCTCTAATGAATAGTTTCTAAATTATAGGTAACTGCAATTACCATAAGTACTTTCCCATATTTTTATTTTAAAGACATGTTTAATTATAACTTTTCCTCTAATTGAGCTGGGTTTGTTAAAACTGTTATCGTAGGGTAATAGCAACTATAGTTTATAATAGTTTTGTATTTATATGGCTCACCATCTGTGGATATGAATGTAAAATAGCTTGATGTAGCTATATTTCAGCTTTATTCAATACACCAGTTTACCTTGTAATCCTTTTTTGTTATCAGTGGTTAATTAGAAAATAGTAAGAAAGGAACTAATATGATTTAAACATTTTACCTTTGTGCTTCCCCAAAAATCTGCATGTTTCCAACTAAATTATTTGAAATTTGGGTTATATCTTTCTAATGTGAAAATTTTATATTGCACAATGAAATATGTGGAAGGTATATACACTTCTGGTTTTCCCCAGGCCACTGTAAAACCTGAACGGAAACATATGCAACAGATTTTATTTACAAAGTAAATTGCTGAGAATACTTTCTAGTGGTTCTCTTTCAGGGCACTGACTATATCTATTTTATATTATTGTCAATCTGGAAAGCACTAAAAATCTAAGGGAAGCAAATTTCATATGTGCCAAGTATGTGAAGAACTGCCTCAATATATTTTTTAATAATAGAAATAATAAAGATGACACTGTGGTTTTATAAATGTGACAAACAACCATAAATTCTGATCTGAAGCTAGACTGCCCTTGGGCATGCTATGGTATGGCTAATAGGTTGTGTTGTGACTGTTGGGTCCCATGAAGCATGTCAGAGAGAGTATTCATCTCACATACAAGGAGTTCCACCTGCCTGGTAACGGGGCCATAAAAATGTAAGAGGAGAGAATAGCTCACAGCCAAGAAGCAGTCAGAAACTAAAGAGGATTAGCAAAGAGGAAATACAGTGTTCTAGCCAAAGGTCAGAACTAAGAGGCTAATAAATAGCTTATTTAATGAAAATCAGCATTTCAATTTTCTATTAAGATACTGATTTCAATGAATGAAATTCCTGGCTGAAAATATAAATAACAGGCTGGAAGTCAAGGTTGTATTTGCTTCTTTGAGAATCTGCTCCCATCATTTGACTTGACTTCATGCTTCTGGTCTGTGTCAATCTTGCTCAAATTAAAATACTGGGTCTTATTTTAGAGAGGCTATGATAAAATGGATTGTTATGTAACAGTGAGGCCCTGTGACAGTTGTAATCTATAATCTCTTGAAGGTAGTTATCTGATTTGGTCTTGCAATGCTCTACAATCTAGTGGCAAGAACAAAGGAAATGGTAGCACTTGTGTGTACATGTGCACATACAAATAACACACACGTGTGTGTGTGTGTGTGTGTGTGTGTGTGTGTGTGTGTGTGTTGGGAGGTATAATTCAGGATTAGGGAACTGCATTCCAGAAAAATATTCGGTGATGCTGTAATGAACTGATTTACTATGATATGTTCTAATTACCATTGTCTTTCCTAGCAGTATGTATAAAACTTTTAATGGATACCTTTGCTTTTGCTGTCTAAGATCCATTCATCCTAATACTGGAGCTCTAACCTTAATTTCTCTTTGAATAATCACCCACTTCTTTATTCTCAGCCTGTATGCTTTGGATGAATCATGTTATCTAGGCCTAAAACAAAGCACTGTATCCTCTAGAAATATGATTGTTTACAGGATGGGCAGGTAATCCAATCAAAAAGGAGTAATGAGATGCCTACTAGGATTTCCAGGAAGGAGAATCTTGCTCTCTCTTGCTAGTTTTAAATCTGAGAGGGTCTGGAGTTTCTGACCTATTTTTTTTTACCATGATGGGAAAGCCTTTTTGAGATAGGAACCAACCCACAGACAGGTCATGAGCCCACTTTAAGCCTCATCTGAAGCTTGCCCATCCTGGAGTTTCAGCTAACTGTATATGAATTAAAACCCGTTTTTTTTTGCTTATGTCTTATTAGGTTGAGTCTCTTATAATCAAGAGGCCTACTTGGTAAAAAATCAAGGGTAAACTGGCTTATTTGTTATAAAAGAATTGACTTTTCTTATCTTTTACTTAAAAAAAACCCAAAATATAGTTGTTTGAAAATCTTTTTGGGAAGTGAAATAAGCAGAACCTCAAAACTTCTGTACTGATGGAGATTCAAGATGAGATTTTGATCTATTGGAGGGTTGTTAATTATTGAAACACCAAGAAGGAACCTTGTAATCAAGAACATTAAACTTCGAGGCCATTTCTAGGCCTGACTCCTAAGAGTAGTATCAGAGAGTATTAGTGAAGAGGCATCTACATCCACATGGATTTTCATGCAAGTGGGATACTTGAATCACCTCCATTAATCATATCTATTATGTTATCTTTTCATTGACTTTCTAGGACAATGGCTGGCACATAGTTAGCACTCAATTAACTTTTGTTTGAATAAATATGTGCATATATGACAAAAGATACTTTCAAATATGCATTGTCAAAAGTATATAATGTGATGAGCTATTAGATGGTATGCCAGTTGTTCAATGGCATGCTCCAATTACATAATTAACTGCTTGGAAAAACCATTATAGCTTTGAAATGAAAATTGTTGTAGGAATCATGATTCATGCCTTTATTCCACACATATTTACTGATTTCCTACTAAGTGCCAGGCACCTTGTCAGACAGAATAAATATCCTTGCCCTCATGGAACTTGCATTCTAGTGGGGAAGACATATTAAACATGTAAACAATAAATAATTTCAGATTGTGAGATAAACTGTGAAAAAAATAAAGCAGGAAAGGTAGTAGAGAGTGATAGAACAGGAGTGTGGAGCTATTTTAGGGAGAATAGCCAAGAAATGATATTTCAAATGCTCAAATGACATTTTAGCAGAAATATGAATAAGATAAAAGATCATGAAACAGACAAAAAGAAAAATGGGAAAACTGTGCCAGCCCCTAAAGACTGATTTTAAATGTCCTTAAGATAGATGGGTCTTTATAAAATCAAGAAACAACAAGATGGTATAAGGATAGACATATAGATCCATGAAACAAAATTGAGAGTC